CACACACACACACACACACACACACACACACCTCCATCCACTCAGACACACCCACCCACCCAGCTGGCCCTCTCTGCTCACAGCAGCATCAGTTGTTTGGGATACAGTCAGGGATCAGTCTGCCTCCACCCTGGAATATGTTTTCATTTTGTCTTCAGCATCGTTGAACCACACACACACAAACACGCACACACCCACACATACACACACACACAGGGCTGGGTCTTCTCCTCTTCATCACTTGGACTACACTGAGAGTAGTGAGGACTGAGCACAGGCTCTAAGCGAACTTTGCTCTGAAGGATTTAAGCCACTATTTCTGAGGAAATGAACTGAACCGTTCCAACAATGACGGTTTCAGGGACCCCGAGCCCGGCTCACCCTCTCTGGATCTGGTACAGCTGGAAAGTTCTGGTTCTGCTTTGTGTTTACTTCCACACCAACCTGAGCTCTTTGCTCGACTGCCATCCCAGCTGTTCCTGTTCCTCCTCAGAGATTTTCTGCAACAGATCGGACAGCAGTCAGTTCTTCCCGCTGCTGTCCCTGCCGGGCTCCGAGGCCAACATCAGTGGGACTCCCGAGGAGCTGGTCCAGAACATCACCACCATGTGAGTCCACTTTGACACCAGGCTCTCTCTAAAAAGATGCAGTTTGCAATCTTGTTCCTTTCATCAAAACAAAAAGAAATCTGAATCTCTACTGGACTCAGTGGACCCATTCGGGTTCTTAACCAGAACTTCTAACTTTAATCAGAAAAAGTCCTGTCCGATACAAAAATGAGTCTTTTCCTTGTTTTAGCATTTTCTCAGCCATCTCTATGTATACACACTGTAAATGTGACATTCTACACACCACATAAAACACAATCATCTCTGGAATTAAATGTGCAATAAATGTTTTCTGGAGATGACCGCTAACAAAACGAACCTTCAGGATCCAAGATTAGAACTTCATGATGTTCCAAAAGAAACCAGAACAAAGCAGATTTGTTCCTCTCTATCACTAAAGGCAGACCATAAAGAGTGATTTATTGGAATATAAACATTTAAAAATCTGAATCTCTGCTGGATTCAGACAATCTTTCACAACACAGTAATTAAAAAGACATAAGCACTCAACCTACTTTAACTTTTAAAAGAAACATAAAGCCAAAATTGATGATTAAAGACTCCAGAATATGAAACATTTAGTTTGTCTGCTACTTAATAATCACTTTAAATTGTTTATGTCCTCCTAAATGTTGAGATATTTGTGTTGTGGGGTTTGAATAAATGACCTTTATTTATTTCGTCAGTTTTTTTAATCTCTGCACGCAGAGACCAGAAATTAACTCAACAATAATCTGACAGTGAATAGCAGCCTACATGAAGTCTAATTTTAAAAAAGTGAGATGTTACATTTATTTACTTAGTTCTGTTAGTTTAAATGTACAGTTTGTTTGGAGTGACCGATCCGAACGCCTCAAAGTTCATGAAACAGAAACGCTAAATGCTCAGCTTTTATTCTGTAAAAGCAACTGTTTGTTTTAGGCAAACTGGTAAAAAATTATTTTAATTAGAAATCTTTAGTTGCTTAATATCAGAATATTTTATTACAGCAAAATCAGCTTCTTTTGACAATTAAAAACCAAAATCAGTAAGTTTCAGATAAACCAAATCTGCAGTTTGAACAATATATTTGTTGACAAAGTATGTTTCAAATAATTCTTACTGTTGTACATTTAAACAAGCAGTTGATGTATTGAGGGTAAATAAAAAGTGAAGTTCCAATGAAATAGAAAATAATAATGTTAAACTGCTGGAGTCAAAGGGAAAATAATAAAATGTGTAAAAGATTCTGCTGCATTATTATATTGCATTATTTCTGCTGCTTTTATCTTAACGTCTGTAAAAAAAACATGGAGAGATTCAGTCCAAACATAGAGGATTTCATTGATAAACTTTTATTATAGTGGGATTTTATTCATTTTGTAGTTTCCTTCTTATTTCTTATTTCCTCTGCTTCCTCCTATTTCCTTCATTTCCTAAGCTTTAAGTCATTTTAAATTGCATCTAAACTATTTTTTATTCATTTTGTTAAAAATACAACAAAAAACAGAAAATACACAAATCAATATTTTCTTTACTAAAGTTACAAAAATTAGCAACAGTTATCCCACATGAATGGCTCACATCATACTGTATATTATTAGTAGTATTATTATTATTATTATTATTATTATTATTATTATTATTATTATTATTATCATCATTATTATGCTTATTCTTTTTATTATTAGTAGTAGTATTACTAATGATAACCCTACTACTATATTAATAATAATCTATTTAGTTTACTGTTTCTAACAGTCATGACAACCACACCAGCTAAATAAATCTGTTTAAATACCTCTGATGAACTCCGATTATTATTTTATACAGGATTTCTATAAAACTCAGGTGATCTGCAGTAACATTTATCTACTGGCATTTAGACATTTTACAGCTTGAAAGGAAATGCTCTAGTTTGTTTAAAAAATGTTACACATTTCATTCCCTGCCAGAGGGATTGTTTTAGCTAAAGGTACATGGGAGCGTTGTCCGAAGAGTTACAACCTGCCGGTGTTGTTTTTTACGCTCATCTGCAGCCAGGGGTGGACTGGTATACGGGTTTACTGGAGATTACTTTGGTGAGCTGATGGGTTTGTGGGCCGATGGGCCGACAGTGGTTCAGCTCATGGAGGTGTTGCTGTGCTCGGCTCTGTAGTTACGCAGTCGGCTTTTGTTTGGAGGCACCATGACTTTACCTCAAACACCTTCTCTACCGCTCTGTTCCAGTCAACTGATCCTGTGGATGCTACAGAGCTGACCAGCTACAGGATTTAGAAAAACTTGTCCCATTGAGCCCAGCCTAAGAAAACAAATCAACTCTCTGGTGCTTATTAATAATTCAGTCTTGTTTCCACTAAAGTCACATAAATTAAATCTCCCTGCTGTCTCTACATCCAACAGAGATGCTCAGTGCTCTGCCTCTGCTCATCACGCTATTCCTCTACAGAACATTACCTGTCAATCACCATCGGTGCCACCAGGCGGGACAATGCCCCCCCCCCCCCCACCCCTAAAAAATTAGTGGTCTCACCAGTTTTATTTTGTATTTGTTTCCTCTAACTAATTAAGATAAGCAGAACCTTATAATAATGAAAACAGTGTTTTAAACAGCAGTTAGAAATCTCAGTTAACTTACACCTAAAGTTCATCACAATGTCTGAACGGTTTTTGATTTGTATTTGTTTAAATTGTGGAGAAACAAAGTGTACTGTACTTAAAAGAAATGTAAAGATTGTGTTTATTGGACAGAGTGAAGGAATATTATACCTGAGTGGGCGGGGCTAGTGGTTAACTTTACAAAAGGCTCCTCATGGCTTTTAAATTTACTGTTTGGCAAGAAACTGGACACTTTTGTCTCTTTCTTGTCCTTAATTCATGCATAATAAACACTCAGTAATGATTTATAAAGTGTTTACAGATGAATTAATAAACTATCTATAAACTATTTATAAGTGGTTCCTACCCAACACTGAGGGAGCAGGAAGAGAATGGGTTAGGAGGAGAGAAATAACAATCAGTAGCTATGGTTACATGTGCAAAGTGTTTTGATCGGATTTAAATGTTTTCAGATAATTTCACTATTTTTATTCATCATTAATTGAAGTTTGATTAATCTATTTGTGTAATAAATTTCCTAAAGTCAAAGTTGGTTTTATCTCCATTGAGTATTCATTGTTTATGGAAAGGGTTCCCTGAATCTTGTGATTTCACACTTTGCTAAAAGGGTCTCATTTCTGAAAGGGTTACTGAATTATCGATCAGAAAAATCTGATCCGGTGCTCCAACAGGTAAAACAAGGCAGCAGAGTGCAGAATAAGTGTATGTTACTGCCTCATTTTATAGCTTAACATGGCATGTATGAATCATTAGGGACACAAAGCAGTCATATTTTCTAAGATATTTTCTATCTATTCTATTTTCTAAAATATGAGGCTACAGATGAGAATAAATAAAGAGATGTTTGGGTGCTGACCCACATGACTCCCTAAAAACAGCAGAAGTTTCCAACATTAAAACCTGCACCCTTCCTGCTGCAGTCGTTGTGACCAGCTGCTGACAAAACCTACTTTTTACAGTATTACCAACAAAACTTCAACAAGTGTCCTTAGTTCCAAAGACTTGTTGAGTGTTGTTAAAAGGAAAGCTGATGGAACACAGAGAGAAACATAACCCTGTCTCAGTTTTATTAGAACATGTTGGAGCATGAAATTCAAAATGAGTGAATATAATGTATATATATATATATATATATATATATATATATTTGTAGTGAATTGAATATAGAATAAAGGTAGGTTGAATATAGGTTGAACAGGATTTGCAAATCATCGTTTTGTTTTTTTTATGTTTTACACAACGTCCCAAATTCATTGGATTTGGGGTTGTATTTTGATGTAAAGCAGTCAGTTTAAACAAACATTTATGTTCTTCATCACGTTATAGAGAGTTTGTTAAGACCGGCTGCATGTGATGGGAGCAGTCCAGTGACAACAAAATGAGGTAAACCAAAAAGCATCAAGCTAATATTACCAGAGCAGTTTGATTTAACAAACTTTAACACAACACTGATAATCTCACACTAACAGAGAATGATCAACAAATGTATTCATCACAAAGTATGTGTCCTCCTTTTAATGCTTTGATAACTTTTTTAACAATGCATTATGACAGAACATCAATAGCTGTGGATCAATAATGTGTTAATGTGAAAAACTAAAAGCTGACAAATATAAAAATAAATCCATATTATATGTTAACATTGCATTATCTGAAAACTTTAGTTATGTTTGGAAATATTGATGATAAATAGACAATAAAATTTTTTAATGTGTCAATGCTTTCAAAGCTTTCAGCATAATAAAACTTGGTTTTAATGAAATTTTAATGCAATTACTTCATATAGAAATGTTTGGGTTTCGGCACTTCATTACAATGAAACAGATGTTTTTTTTTTCTTTGAGACACCTTTATTTATTCATTATTTAAACATCTGATCTAATTTTTCCTCATCAAACTACTTATTTCATTTTACTATATATAGATAAATACTCACCAGCTGTGGTACAACACCAAACTGAAAACTTTCCAGTCTCTCCACTGACAGAAATCTACTGTATGTCATCATATTATTATACATACATAATGTTATATATTGTATAAAACAAGTAAATGTACTTTAGATTTCTGAAACTACTGTGTATCTCAGTAAGTGTTTCAGGACTGTTTTAATTGAGTGTTTTGTGCTTTGTCATGTTTTTATGTAGGACAAATGTAAAATATGTGCTTTCTCAGAACCTGAAAACAAGAGGAAATTTCTTTATGTTATGTTAGTTTTATATATATATATATATATATATATATATAAACATGTTCATCCTCTATTTTCTTTACCTGACAAATACAGTATTAGCCTAATTTAGTATTACGGTCAGCAGTCAGACAGTTATAATTACTAGTCTTTTGTCTTTTCATTTCTTTCAGTGTAGCAGCATTCACAAGCAGGAAGTCTGGCCTCAGTCTTTCTCATCTTATGTGTACTGTTACAAAACTAAACACAAGATGGCAGTTGTGTTGGCATGTGTACATGTGAGGGGGTGGGGTGGTCTTCGGGTTCACAGGTGACTTCAAACCAAGGGCGTAATCACCATCCTAAAAGGGAGGGGCAACACATTTTTAAAGGTCATTTTTTACTGCTTCGGTTGAAATAAGTGTGGGGGACAGAGGGCACAGATATGTGAAGTGGGGGGGACATGTCCCACCCTGTACACATGCCAGTTACGCCCATACTTCAAACCGACCTTAGGCATGAGCATAATATGCTGTTTGTTGTGTCCAACACAAATACACAGTCTGAGAAGCAAAACTAAACACAACAAAACACAAAATGAAGAAGCAGAAACATAAAACCCAAACCAACAACAAAAACCAAGGATCATGACAAAGTGTTTTGAAGCATTTAGGACATGTTTGGTGGCTGAGAGAGAGCCACATAATTATGTTACTAAATACAAACCTTCTGTATACTGTTGCTGTTTTTCGACAGACACATTGAGAACTGGGTTGGTCTGCAGAACCTGAGGGATGTGGACATGGAGATTTACCCAGGCTTACAGAGGCTGTAAGTAAAGTCTTTCTCTGGTAATGTCATGTTTGATTTGATTTGATTTATTGATTTAACAGGAAAAGATTAAAAATGTTAACAAAGTCCAGACCGTCAGGTCTTGTTTCTCTCTTCATTCATGTGAAAAAGACAAATGTCTGAAACATATCAACACGTACAGCATGATGAACATGAAGAAGAAACTAAGGAAACATCATGAATATCTGTATCTTACCACTTCTTCTATAAACAACTAATGACATGGCTGGTAATTATGTGCTACACTCCAGTGTTGAACAGATTAAAAGTGACAATTACTTTGTGCTTTTGTTTTTACCTCTCCAATGAGATTTTTTTTCAGTACGATTTGTTCATCCATTTGTTGCACAATGTTATTCTAAAAGTTCTGAATGGATTTCATGAAATGTGTATGACATCTTGAGGTTATCAAAAAGAACTAATGATTACATTTTGGTGGTGATCTGACAACTTCTGTCAGATCTGTCAGTGTTGCTTATCTCTCGTTCTTCCCCTGATTTAAAGACATATTTTGGGCATATTTTTTAGCAGTTTTCCATTCCATGGGAAACAAACCTTCCCTAATTGAACAATTCACAATTTTACAGATGAATGGGATGATCATCCATGCATCCATCTTCTTCAATTTATCCGGGGTTGGATCACAGGGGCAAAAACCTATTAGAGACTCAGATGTCCCTCTTCCCAACCACTTGGACAACTACTCTGGGGGAATCCCAAAGCATTCCCAGGCCAGCTGTGTCCCTCCAGCATGTCCTGGGTCTCCCTCTGGGTCTCCTCTCAGTGGGACATGCCCAGAACACCTCACCAGGGAGGCATCCAGGAGGCATCCTAACCAGATGCCCGAGCCACCTCAACTGACTCCTCTTGACGTGGAGGAGCAGCGGCTCTACTCTGAGTCCCTCCTGGATGACTGAGCTTCTCACCCTATCTCTAAGGGAGAGCAGACACCCTGCGGAGGGAACTCATTTCGGCCGCTTGTATCCACGATCTCGTTCTTTTGGTCACTACCCAAAGCTCGTGACCATAGATGAGGGTAGGAATGTAGACCGACCAGTAAATCAAAAGCATCACATTCTGGCTCAGCTCCCGCTTTACCACGACAGATCGGTACAGCACCCACATCACTGCAGATGCAGTACCAATTTGCCTAGCGCCTGCTCCATTCTTCTCTCACTCATGAACAAAATATTTAAACTCCTCCACTTGGGGCAGGACCTCTTCCCCGACCTGGAGGTGGCACGCTACCCTTTTCCGGCTCAAGACCATGGTCTTGGATTTGGAGGCAATGATTCTCATCCTGGCCGCTTCACAATGGGATGAACATTTTTATTTGCTTTTAAAAGCACAGTGTCCATATTGTAAATATTGTTTGCCCTTGATTATTTTAAAGTTGAAATTATTGTTTCTATTTCAGAGCATGTCACTTCCTTAAAGTTCAAAATTGGGGCATTGGTGTTGTTGGCTCTGAGTAACTAGACTCATTAACACATTGAGTTATTTTTTTTATTCAATTGATTGATGAAATATTGATTAAATGCATTAAAGGGCCAATATTACATTTCTCAGGCATATATTTAAATACTATTCATTAATAAAGTGTCACCTTAAGCTGTTATTAAAATTATTATTTTAAATAGAAAATAAACTTATCTTCTCATCACCTCCTCTTCTAAACACCTTGAAATTGGCCTCTGTCACTTTAAGAACCTCCTCCTGCTTCTGTCCTGTCCCGTCACCCGTCCGTCGTGGGGTGTCGCTCGCGCACAGGTGGTTTGTTTCGTGCGTGTGCTATGATGCAGTTTACTTGGCATCTGAAAACACATTTCCTCAAAGGTATTTTGAATCTGAAAAGAACTTCACTGAGTGAGAAGTAGTGGATCTCAGCAGACAGCTAAGTTTCACTTTCACTTTTGCTCTGTTACTGCCAAGAGCTTGCAGGGGTCATGGGTGGGGTGTATGGGTGTGTGTGTGTGTGTGTGGGGGGGGGTGCTCTGCCATGAGGAAGTTTGGCTCAAAGATAAGTCCCAGGGGCATTTCTGGCCCTCATCTGTCGTTTTGCTCCTCAGCATGGCTGCCTAAAAACGCTGCAGGATTTCTCAGACATGCATGAATGAGTCAAAGCAAGGCTTTGGACATGTTTTTTATGAGAGTATAACATTATAACATGATATAAAACTCAAAAAAGTTGATTTTACATGATATTGCCCCTTTAACAACTACACCAGCATCATTCTATAACTTGGGATCTGATCTATATTTAGTTCTATTGCTTTTTATTGATTTTTTTTGTAATTTGTTTTTATTCTGCCAGATCTCTTTCATGTTTTCATGTGTGTGTGTTACAGAACTATTACCAGGAGCAGCCTGCGCACCATCCAGGCCAGTGTGTTCTTCAGAAACCCCCACCTGCGCTACATGTGAGTACATAAGCTTCAGCTCACGTGAACTAAGAAACACAAATATAGTTAAAACTACCAGAGACAGACAGGGTGCATTTGGGGTCCACTTTGTTTTAGGAGGTTATTTATATTAGTTATAATTAAATATATTAATTTAGAAGAGGACAGGCTCAATAAGTTGAGTAGACAGAGCTTTACTCAATAAAAATATATAAACTGTATAAAAAACAACCTAAAGTAGACCTGTGTTCATCAAACTCAGTGTAAAGTTATTTATGACAACAAGTAAGTAAGTTTTATTTCTATAGCACCTTTCACAGACAAACATCACAAAGTTCTTCACAGAAAGTAAAAATAATTAAAAACAAAAAAAACAGATCACAGATATATAAACAAAAATTAAAACACAATAAAAAGCACTTAACTAAAAGCCTGTCTGAATAAAAATGTCTTAAGATGTTTCTTAAAAGAGTCAGTAGAATCTGAGCAGTGAAGGGACAGAGGGAGAGCGTTCCAGAGCCTCGGGGCCACCACCTGAAAAGCTTTGTCTCCACGGGTTTTATAACGGGTTCGAGGGACCACCAGCAGCATTTGATTAGAAGACCTCAGAGTCCTGGATGGACAGAGAGGCTTCAGAAGGTCCAGTATGTATTTGGGGGCCTGACCATGAAGTGCTCTGAAAGTTAAAACTAAAATTTTAAAATGACTCCTCAAAGTCACAGGGAGCCAGTGCAGAGAGGCTAAAACAGGTGTAATGTGGGCTCTCCTGTGGGTCTTTGTTAATAAACTCGCTGCAGCGTTCTGCACAGACTGAAGCCGAGTCAAGGAGGATTTGTTTAGACATATAAAAAGACTGTTGCAGTAATCTAAACGAGAAGAAATAAAAGCGTGAACAACCATCTCTAGTTCCTTCTGTGACACAAAAGATCTCAGCTTTGAAATGTTCCTTAAATGATAAAAACAGTTACGAACTAAAGTTTTACAATGGCTGTCAAAAGACATAGAACTATCAAAGACAACACCCAGATTTCTGAGACTATTTTTCACTGAAGGGGTTAAAAAAGCAAGGTGCTGCCTGATTACAGGGATTTTATCATCAGGGGCGATAATAAGAGTTTCAGTCTTGTTTGCATTTAACTGCAGGTAGTTGTTGTTCAGCCATAACAAAACTCCTGAAACTCTGCTCTGATTTTTTGTTTTGGTGGGTCACCCCAGGATTTTCAGGATGTTTAGAAACTCAGTAACACTTCTCAACAAGTGGGACAAGTTTAAAAAAAAAAGCTGTGAAAGCAAGAAGTGCAATAAAAAAAACAGCTGGAGGAGCATTTTGCACAGAATAACGTTGGCAGACAGGTTAAATGGATATTTTACAGGTTGTGTGTCTCAGAAGTAGAAAGTGAATAACAGTCTGTAAAAAACTAAATCTATCTATCACTATCTAAAAGTTGTGGAACAGTATTTCAAAATGCTCTCTTATGAAAAATTTGGAAGATTTTAATTCTGTCATCATCAACAGTCATCAAAAGATGTGAAGAATCTGTCGATATCTGATGTTCTCCCATGCCTGGGTGAGTTTTCTCTGGGTACACCAGTTTCCTCCTGCAGACCAAAAACATGCATGTTGGGTTAAATTCTTACTTAGTAGTAGTACTTCTTTATTCATTTCATTTGTAACACAGATTAACAAAGTACAAAAAAAAACAAGCAATCAAAATTAAATCAAATAAAATGAAAGGCAGCAGAAGAAGAATAAATCTTATAATATCTGCCACTATTTTTTTACTTCATGTGACATTATGATGGACAGGCAACCTCTCCAAGGTGTACCCTGCTCATCGTTTATTAAGGTTGGAGAGGCAATAGCGCTTTGTGACCCCATGAAAAACCAAGTTAAAGAATGGATGGATGGATGGTTGGATGGATGGATGGATGGATGGATGGATGGATCGATGGATGGATGGATGGTTGGATGGATGGATGGATGGATGGATGGATGGATGGATGGATGGATGGATGGATGGATGGATGGATGGATGGATGGATGGAAACCCAAGCCATCCTTAACTATAACGTATCATAAAGGACGAACTCAAGCTTTCTCAAAAGTAGACAGTGTCATCCTCATCTGCCTGTGACATGCATATCCATGAAAAAGTCTAAGAAAATATATTTATATTTAAGAAACTTGGTATAATACTTGTGATTTGACCCGTTATGTCACATAATTGACATATTTTCATTTGAATTTTGCTCAACTAAAGTGAAACAGGAAGTGACATCAAAGAGGAACTCTGAGAAAGAAAACTCCCTGTTTTTTGTTTATTGAAACACTATTATTTGAACTATGGTTCTTTCTCATCTCTCTATGATAGTGATTAAAATAATCAAAAAAAAAAACACCAGATCCTTCTCTCTACAGTCTGTGCTGTTAGCCATTTTAGCAAAACTCTGTTTACATTCAGACATTCCTCTTTGACATCACTTCCTGTTTCTTTACATGTGAATATCTCAACAACTGTTCATCTCAGCAGCATGAAGTCATTTTTACAATATGTTAACAATGTTATCTTTCCAAAAATACATTAATTTTTATTATAAAAATTTGATGTCACAGGCACTTTAACTGGAACTTGGTCCTCAAGAGAGGAGCTAGATAACTGAAAGATCTGCCTCCCATTTTACTTTTAGAGACTCTAGGAACCACAAGTAAACCTGCAGTCTAAGAGCCAAGTGCTCTGTTAGGAAAATATGTCTATCTTTCAGTTAATTCTCTAATCCATGGGTTCCTGCGGTGGAATGATGGTCTCATCAAATTTTCCTCATGTAACTTTAATCTCTCTCTCTGTCTGTCTCACACAGAAACTTGTCCAAGAACCCCCTGTTAAGAACACTGTCCTGGAGGGTCTTCCAGCACCTGCAGCTGTCTGAACTGTAGGTTGAGTCTTGACTTGTTCTCACTTATATGATGAATACACAGACAGTACATTCCAGCTACATCTAAAACATGATCTAGGATGGAGGCTTTAGGAATAAGGACTAGGGCTGGGTATCATGGCCAATTCTCTGTGTCGATTCGATTTCGATTAATCACAATTCTATTCGATTTGATTTGATTCAATGAAAATGTTTATTGATACTGATATTGTATTTTGCAACTGTGTTGGGCTGGGTATCATGGCCAAGTCTCTAGATCGATTCGATTTCGGTTCATAAGGTTCTGAATCAATTAATTTCGATTCGACTCACTCTGAAATACTGAAAATGACTCAGCTGTGTTTCAAACTACAAATGTACTTTATTTAGTCTCTTCAGTCTTCACCATAAACAGGTTTTTGAGTGCAAAGTTGTAAACTGAACAGTTTCAACTTGAACTGTAAAAAAAATGTCAAGTCTCAAAGGTACAATGTTCACATTAAAAAAGAAATTGCAAATGAAAATGTACCTGAACTACAAAATTATATTATTACTGTACTCAAGCCATTAAGGCATTGTTTCTTATAGTGCAAAAATAAAAATAGCAGTACATAACTAAAGGTAAACAAAACTCTCAAGTCTTAAAGGTGCAATTTTCACAAAAATGAATTGTAAAATGAAAATTTACTTGAACTAGAACTACAATATTCTATTACTTTAAATGTTATTGAGGCAATGTCTTAAGTGCAAAAATAGAAATAACACTTAACTAAAATAAAAAAAAACTCTCTCAGGTTTCAAAGGTGCAATTCCAGAATTGCAAATGAAAATGTACTTGAACTTGAATATTCTATTACTGTAAATGTCTTTAAGATATTGTTTCTTAAAGTGCAAAAATAACTAAAAGTAAACATAACTCAGTCAATTCCTGTTAATGTGGCTCTGTTCTCTCACTTGCTAATAGTGAGATTCTTGTGCAGGAAAATGAGCTCATTGACATGATCTGGAGTTACGCAGCTTCTTTTTGCAGTGACAATATCCCCTGCAGTTAAAAACACCCTTTCTGATGCAACACTTGTCCCTGGAACACAAAGATATTGCTTCACTAGATGAGCGAACAGTGGGTGCTCCCTTTCATTAGACCTCCACCAGGTCAGAGGATTTTCACTCAGCCCAGCAGGTTTTTCTGTCTTGTATCTTCTGACTTCATCTTCAGCCATCGTTGCCGGAGTCTTCTGCTCATTTTC